GAAAACATATCAGAAGGCTCTCCTTGTTATTGACCAAGACTTTGAGAAACAGAAAACAACAGGGTTTTTGATGAAGCATACAATAATATTAAGACTATACAGTATTTAGACGCATTCACTGTTAGATAAACATTTACCAAGAGCCAGATTTATACTCTGAAGCTCAAGTCTAAAGTCTACAATCTGTGCTGCAGTGTGTGTAAATATTTTGTTATTTACATAGTACTATGGTCCAAAAACATGTTATTACCATGGTATTTTTTTAAAGGATATATCTTTATATAATGTTTGTATTGTATGTTTATAAAATATATTATATTCTGGAATGCATTCCCAGTTGAGCAGTAAGTCACCAGATTTCCATAATAAACAAAAGGCCCTGGATCCACATCACTCATGTACAAGGCCACTGCTCTATTGGTGAGGGTGGAAACACGCACACTCACACACAAACCTGTGACTATACCACAACTTGTGGTGTTTATGATACAGAAAAAGGTTGTGACTCTAAACCTAGCGAAGTGTCATCCAAGTGGACAGAACGTTTGCACCCAACGCCTCAAAATGCATTTCAACATTCCACACATGTCCTTGACCCCTCTAAATGCATTTAAATATCCCAAAACATCTATGATGCATCAAAATGCCTTTAAACCCAAATGTACCTATAACAACACCCAAACATCATTATAATTAGGGCTGTGCGATATGGAAAAACCTATCGCGATTTCTTTAATCAATTTTGCGATTTCGATTTTGATCACGATTTTGACACACACAGACATGCTTTACAGTCATAAATGCATTCAGTGTGAATTTGAAACACATTTCCAAAAGAAAACCAATTAGCGCTTTATTAAGAAGCTGTAACATGTCTCTAGAACAGACATAAGGCAAAATAATCACTAAGTAAAGGTGTAACAAAATGTCTCTAGAACAGACATATATATGGCAGGGGGGGAAAAAATCCCATGTCCAGGGATTTTTTTTTGCCATGCATTGGTCATAGAGCTCTTTGTGGTGTTGCTTCAGATGTTGAACTAGATTTGTTGCGCCAAGTTCACACGTACTCCGTCTGCAGTGCGTATACAGTATGTGTATGCGGTGCAGAAGCAGCACGGACTCA